CCCCACCAGCCCACTCGCCCCACAGCCGGGCTCTGGGGACACGGGGAAGGGCGCAGGATCATGCCACCCACCCAGCCAGACGCAGCCGTACAGCTCTACGCGCAGGCAGACGTTCATGGAGTGGTCGGTGATGGGGATGAAGCGGACGAAGCGGGCGATGAGGGGCGGCTCCAGGTCCTTGAGGACGATGTCATAGGGGTTGGTGTTTCCATCCAGCACCTGGGGAGAAGAGAGAAGCGTGGTGGGGAGGGGCAGGCACAGCCCTCCACCCACCTCCCCCTGCAGCCCCCACCCACCTCCTCACCTGCTCCCCATGCCGGTTCCTCCAGGAGATCCAGCGGGTGCCGTCCCGGCTGTAGTTGATCTTATACATGGGGGCAAACTCATTGCCGTGGCCCCCAGCGTGGCGCCCCTGGGTGCCCACCAGCGTGATGAAGTGCAGGGCGCGCAGGTCGATCTGCAGGAACTCCTTCAGGTCATCGGGCTCCACCGGGATTTCGGGGCACCAGGCACCATCGCCGTCCTCTGAGTCCAGCCTGCGAACCCAGAGCGGAGGAGCAGTTTGCAGGCAGCCGAAGCCATCTCTGTGCCCCCTTTCTGCCCCTCCATGGCAGCCCAGACCCTGCCGTGGCTGTCGCAGGAGGGTCCCCACACCCACCCTGCCAGCTGTCCCCACACTTACCGTCCATACTTGGCGGCTGTGGACTCAGACCACTGGCTGGAGGCCGAGATGTCCTCATCGGGGATGTGCCCGCCCGACATTCCCAAAGGGTACCGGCACACCGCTGCAATGAGATCAGCGGGGTGCTAAGTGGGCATCCCTCCTCACCTCCCCAGCTGAGATACGTGCCGAAATACAGCACGGCACTGCCGGGGCTGGGGCACATCCACGGCGCCATGGGCACTGCAGCCCAGGCAGCTCAGGCGCAGCACTCTCCATCCCTCCAGCTTACAGAGGAGGGTTGAAGCATGACGGGACGGTCCTGCACAGGCAGACACTTGCCCAGGCAAATGGAGCCACTAGCCAGAGACGGATGCCAGCCCAGCTTGAAGTGAAGCTGAGAGCAAGGAGAGACAGCGCTCCAAGGGCTGCTGGACGCACCAAGTCCCTGTCCCTGGAGATCCCTTCAGCCCTGCTGGCAAGCATTTCAGCTGGGATGGAGGGAGAGCCCGTGGGCTGGCACTGCTGTCCCCACGCTTCCTTGTTCTGGGGGCACCCAGAAGGCTCGGTCCAGAGGCTGCTTGCCCAAAAAACCCACCCACAGCAACCGGTTCTCAGCCGTGCCACCTGCTGCTCCCCCCACATGCCTGGGGGAACAAGTGACAAAGGCAGGCACTTGCCCTCCCCGCTGGCCCCGCAGCTCCCATTGCCAGCCCTGCTCCCGCCCCAGCTGCAAGTGGAAAAGTACCCGGGGTGGCGGGCAGGCTGCGTCCCTGAGCGGCAACCAGCTTCTCCGGCACCGCATCCACGCTGCTTCCCAGGAGATATTTTTTCACACCTGGCTGCCAAGAGAGCTGCTGAAAGGCCGGCTTGTTTGGCCGTGTTTACTGTCTGGCCGCCGTCTCCAGCCCACAGCACTCCCTCCGCACGCCGCCCCGAGCAAACACCCGCACCGAGGTGGCAGGGCCCAGGCGAGGATGCAGTGCCGGGGCTGCCTCCTGCCCCCACGGCCTCCAGCTTGCCCAGTGCTGCGCCAGCAAGGAGCCCGCGTCCCAGCATGCGGTGCCGCCCAGCAGCTGGCTCCCGTCCCCGGGTCCCTGCGCCACAGGGGCCATCTCCTGCATTCGACAGCGGGATGGGCATATCTTCAGCATGAGCATTGGCACAGTGGGGAGCATCTCTTCTTGTCTCCAGCTCTCCCATTTGTGATACTCTGCAGAGTGCAACTCCCACTGAATTCCCATTTAATTCTTGCCGAACATGGAGCCAGCCCTGCTCCTTTGCCCTAGGTAATAACCATCCTGGCCAGGCAAAGGCAAAGCTGCCAGCCCTGGATGGCTGCAGAAGAAACAGGATTTCTTCCCTGAGACTGAGCAAACTCTTCCCATGGATGGAAGAAGCCTTTGAAGGGACTTGTTACAGGGACGCCCCAGGGAAACCGTGATGTGCTGAAGGAGACTGGGCTTTGTGTCCATCCCTGCAGCGCAGGAAAGGGGCTGAGCCCTGCAGAAACAACCATTTAAACACGTTTCTCTCGTTGACGTCTGGCACAGTGTTGTGGTTTCAGAGCAGAAGCCAGGCACCTAGTCAAGCCACTTTACTAAAGCCATCCTTGGTTTGCTGCAAAACCACCAAAGAAAGCACATCCCAGCGGCAGCAAACAATACCCCGGCGCCTTGCCTTCTGCACGTGGCAGCCTCAAAACTGAATGGGCTCGATGAGGCCCCAGTGGAGAAGGGCCCCACTCAGAGCCCAGGGCTCCGGCTGCAGCACTTTGCCTGTACCCCAATGCCCCGCCTGCAGCACTTTGACTGTACCCCAATGTGCCGCCAGCCCGCCAGTGCCAAGACAGGTACCCATGGCACACGGAGGATGCTTTCTGGGTCACCGGCAGTGGCTGAGCCGCATGCAGGACAGCAGAGTGTCCCAGGCAGGCAGGGGTTGAGAGGCCATCACACGCTGCTCCCAGAGATGGGAAAGTCCCAGAGACGGTGGAGACGACGTGAGCCCAAGCTCGGATGCCCTGGCAGGAGCACAGCCCAGGGAAACGCACCTTGCGGCCCTTGCAGCCGCCTGGTCCCCATCGCACTTACCTGGGTTGACCTGGGCTCTCGCACCCTGTGGGATGTGCAGCAGCAGCAGCAGCAGCAGCAGCAGGGCTGGTCTCGGGGGGGCCGGCATGTCGGCAGTCCTGCGGAGACAGAGCCAGGACTTGTCACGCCGAGGCAGCTGAGCTGTGCGGGAATGCCAGTCGTGCTTGGGGTGGCCGGCCGAGAACGGCAGAGCTTCCCCTGCACGAGACCCTGTGTCCCCACCTCATTCTTGGAGGAGGAGCAGAGCCCCATGCCTCATGTCTGTGATGGTGGTCAAAGGGGTCCCAGCGTCCTCTCTGCCACCACCCCCCGGGAGCCACAGCATCATGGTGCTGTGCCAACGCAGCCTCGGCACAGGCAGGTAACATGGCCCTGCTGCATCCCTGGAGCCTGCCACAGGACCCACAGGAACATCCCGGGGCTCTGCTCAGGGCCAGTGCCATCCAGCTCCACCGATGGGCAGAAAGGGTCCGGCTGGGCCACCCGCCCTCAGATGCCTTTGAAAGCAAGACATTGCACAACCCCGTCATATAACAAAATAATAGCACGTTGCAACACACGGTTTCCCTGCCTTCTGGCTCGGGAAAGATAATAGCAGATAATCGCCTGAGATTTACGGCATATTTACTGTGACAGTTCTCCACGGCAGAGCGGATCTCGGGGACATGGATGACACAGAAAGGTGTGACAGGGGGCATGGGAGCCAGCTTTCATCCGCTGCCTCCTGGGGAGCGTGGGATGGGGCTGGATGGAACCTGGGCATCCTGGCAATGGGGCTCAGGCTGCAGCAAGGGGACCAAAAGGGCTGAAGCTAGTGAGGCTCGGGTGCAGCCCGTGACACGAGGGGATCCCCCACCCGGCCCCAGCCCCAGGACATGCCTGCCCTCTGAGTCAGCGCTGTCGCCACAGCCACTTCGCGGGGCAGCGGCCATCGCCCTGCTAGTCCTCGGCTGCCAGGAGTCCCCAGAGCCCGAGCAGCTCCTGCTGCACCCACGCACCTCTGGGGAAGTGCCATGGGGCATGGCACCAGGCTCGGGGATGCACCAGGGACACCAGCACTGGGTGGCGAAACCCCGCGTCCCCTAAACGTCACCAGCCCCACCCCAGATACCCCCTCCCCTTATTTGCCAAGGGGACATTTGTCCTCCTGGAACAGCCCTTCACACAAGCACTGGATGCGGTTTAGTCCTCTTTTTATTAAAAAAGGCTGTTTTAATCTGGTTTACGTGCACATTAATCTTTGCAGGAACAATTTACTAATCTGGGAGTTAAAGGGACCATAGCTCCTGGCCAAATGTGACCCGGCTGCACTTGAGTGCTGGGGTAAATCCCAGCCGAGTCCTGCCATACCAGGGATGGCTGGGCTGGCGGGTCCCTGAGCTAGCCCAACACCAGTGACCCTGCAGGTGGGTGCCTGGTTGCGTCCCTGCACCCACCCCATGCAGGGACCTGCAGCCTTGTCCCCACCACCAAGAGAAAGCCCAAACCCATCCTGAACCAGCTGCTACACGGCAGATGCCCCCATCCTGTGGAGCCCAGCTAGGAGGGGCTGGATACGGCCCTGCTCACTGCCAAAACCAGGGCTTGACACAGCCAGGAGCGAGGCAGGCTTGCTGTGACCATGCCAGCACCCAAGGGGAGTGCAAAGCCCCGGGAACTGCCACCCGCAACCTGCTAGAGGCTCTGCACCCAGCAGTGCGCTGCTGGATTCCCCGAGGGTCTCTGCTAAACACCACAAGCTCTGCAGGAGGTACAAACAAACACCTGGACTTAGGGTGATTTTTTCCCCTTTTTTTCTAATTTTTTTTTTGGAAAAGCACCTATGTGGTTGCTTTTTTTTCTATTCCCAGCTGGGAAAGTTTAGTTAGTTGCAACTAACCCAGCTGCAACTGGAAATTTCAACTGCATCGCTGAGAGGCGCGCACGAGGCTCCTGTGTTTGATGATGGCCAGTTCCCCCAACATTAAAATCTCAATTTCCTTCTGCATTCCAAAAAACATCCAGGGATATTTTTTCCCCACTATTCTTTCAGGCTGAGTAAACTCTTTAAGCATCAGGATACCAGATGCCATAATGTCCCGCAGGGAATGCATTTACATTTAGTCTAATATAGGGAAATTATCCCCGCGCAGCCGCTGTGAAGTGCTCGTTGCTCCTCGGGGGAGCGGGCCTGGGGGACAGCGGGGAGACGGTGACTCGGGCACCGAGGCTGGGGGCTAAGGGACACGCGGTCAAACCAGCCGAGCAGTATTGGCAACCCAGCTGGAAATCATTTTTGTTCCACCAGCCCTGCAAAAGGGATGGCTTTGCAACGTTTCGTCTGAAAATGTTTGCCGAAAATTTTCAATCACTGGAAATTTTTAGTGCAGAGAGTTTTTGGAGCTCCTCCCTGGCATTGCCTGGGCTTGGGAGCTTCCCT